AAATTTAATTCAAAAAATATTTTAAACTTTGAAATTTCAATTAGAATATACTTTTCATTTCAATATACAGTATACATAATTCACTATTTTATAATATATTTTAATTAAGTTTATAGTAAAAATTGATTTTTCTAATCATATACTGTATATTTTGTTTATTAGCCAATATATTTATCTAATTATTTAAAATTTTATCAATTTATACTTATATAGTATAATTTTTTTTTTTTTGGCCGAAAATTTTTAATAAATTGTTTGTGATATTTTAAGATTTAGATAAAGTTTGAAACAATAATACAAACAATGAATGTTAGAGTTAAATATATACTGTATTAGATAAAATCGAAAAAAAACTTGGTTTATAATTGATGACACCGTACGTACTGTATATCTAGTATATCAATTTTAAAAGAAGGTATAAACATAAATAAATATGTTTTTATATTGAGTAGATTTTTTCTTTTAAAAAAAAAAAAAAAAAAAAAAAATATTACTGATTATGACTTTAGGCCAAGACTAGCCGGCCAAATTATTCTAAAATATAAGCAACAGAATGTATTTTATTTAAATTATCATCATAACACGCTCTAATCGCTACCCATTTTCAATTTGATAAGATATCAAATCAAGGATTTCATTGTCTAATGGAACCACGGAAAAAGTTTTTTATAATTCAATGGCAATGATATCTCTCATATACATTCGTGTTAATAATTTGGAAGTCTGACTTTGAAACAACACATGAAATTAATTACCGTTGACAGGGTTAGTTATGCATTGTCAAGTAGTATTTCAAACTCGCCTTTATAATCATTTTTTTTTTTAAAAAAAGAAAAAACTTCTTTTTTTTATTGTTGTTGTTGTAAGATTTTTGTATTGCTTTTTTTTTTTTTTTTGTAAAGGGCCACGTCCAGATTATGCAATTCCGCTGGGAGCCGCAGCCGACCTTCGCGCGTGACTTGTGACGTTGTGCACAAAATGTTTCAGACAAGATATCTCGTAAGCCTTCAGGATATTACAATGATGCCCACAGAATGACACTTATTTAAGATAATACTTTTATGATCTAGAACACTGTACTCTTGAAAATATGATGGCAGATGATGCCAGCCCATTAAATGACGAATACATCAAATTTGGAGTCCGAATTCCTTTCGTTCCTTTATAAATATTATGTAATTTATCACAATTCCCTTTTCTTTTTTTTTTTTAATTAAGCATTGTCTTCGTTGGTATTATGATAACAAACATTTCACGCCAAAACTAGTGAAAGGTAAAAATAGCATCCCTGAACCATTTTTTTTTTTTAATATCAAGTACTCAAAATTTTAATCAACGTGTTGCGAGTCACGTGAAAACTTGGAGGTCATGTCAAAGTGCTTTGGTTGAAAATGATACTGTATATTAAAAAAAGAAGAAGATTCTCTAGGATTCGCATTTGTACATTGCGACATCTCATGGTATTTCAAGTAAGCAACAGAATAAAGAACAATGACTTCAATTTACAATTATCAAGGATCGCTTAGCCAAGTCTTCAAGGATTTTCTACAGCCTAGGAATCATACCATACCTTTTCACAGTGCCCATGGATGTTCAACATTAATTAAAACAAACATAAGAGAAAAATCATAATCAGATTGCAATAACGGTTTGTTTCAGAATTCGCCGTTTTTTTTTTTTTTTTTTTTTGAAAAAAGCGGAGGTTATTGTAGAGCGAAAACTTACATAATTTCGAAACAATAAAAATGGATTGACCAAGAATTTCATTTTTTCTTCATTCGCGAAAATATCTACTACACCAAAGCAGGGACTCGTGAAAATTACCGGTAAATTGGTATATGCAATATGTAAGTTGGCTAAAAGGACAGCGATGCGTTTTCACGAGAAGATTTGTTTTTGTAAGCGATTGCCAAATTACTAAATTGAGGATCCTTGTTAAAGAATTATGGATAGAGGGATTAGGTCCAAAATTAATTAATTTCCCAAGGAATCCGTGAATAATCGAGGGCACACACATTATTTGCATTCTCTCCGCAAGTTTCGATGAATGATCGCGACCAATATCGAAAAATTAACACCGAGTTGAACATGTCAGAATAATAGCAAATGCAAACGGTTTGTGATGGAATTTAATTAATGCGCGAGTCATTATTACTAAATTTTTACTTTCGAGATGCAGCGTTTTAGTTTTCAATTAACGTTTGTTTGAAAAAAAAAAAAAAAAAAATAGATGAAAAGTGGTCAACAGAATCTTCTACGAAGATTGTCTTTCATGAGATCGTGCGTGTAAGTTGAGAATTCCAATTCGAACAACTTCGGGTTCCTGCGACAGGACGCGTCAGCTCCAATAGGCGATCGACCACCGCCGGACCCAGTGATGCGATGTTTTACATATTGTATTGCGTCACATGCTATTAATGCGTGAGTGGAAATTTTTCAACCTTTATCACAAAAAAATGCATGCCTTTTGTATGCTAATACACTACATATGTAATTTTTGATAGTAGGGAGATGATGTTTTACGAGGGATCTTCACCCAAGAAAGTTTGATGTACTGTACATTATACACCAAATTTGGATGTGCCGTATCTTGTCATTATTTGCAACAATCGTTCTCCAGGGATCTAAAACGAGACGTTTTTCTCGGAAATAACTTACTTACCTCAAGATTCAGAGCCGAATCACCTCTATTAATTGGCAACAACGACGCTGCTATTTTTATAACGTGATCCAGAAATCTCGTTAATTCTGAAGTTTGGGACATTGATCTGACACTGCATAAGCAACGATTCATACATCTGTGACCACAACAATAAATCTATTATAAATCAGTAATTAACGCGGTAGATAGTGGTAGACTAGTCATTTTAGGATTAAAAATCCAAAGAATTTTTGTCATCGTGCTTTTCATTGCTTCAGGGAAAAAACTTAGTCTGCTTAGATAATTCCCTTTCCTGATCCGACTTAACAATTTTCCAATACACATGATTGCTCATTATTAATTCAAAAATCTCAGGGAAGATCCTAATCCATAAACTCCCAGTAGACAACAGTACGATGTGGCCCGTGTGGTGCGTTTCTGAAATGAACCCTAGAAAACGAAAAAAAGGTGCATTTTTTACCAATAGACTTATTTGTTTACGGAGCAGTTTCATTGCATGTCGTCGTGCATCGATGGATACCATGACAAACAATAAAGGGTCGGAAAGAGAAATGTTTATGAAAATTCGGAGTTGAAATTATATCAGATAAAGTGCGAAACCATATAGCATTAATAAGCTTTATTAGCCACATAATCAGCTAATGCTGTATGCTATATTCCGGTTATGCCTAATAGGGTGAAATTGAGACATGGATTTGTTAGCTATTCGCAGTAAAATGAGAACGAGATTACGTTATCACTATGCAGGATGCTTGTTTTGCTGTTCTGGCACGTCGATCAACGCAGCCCTGTGGTGGATGATGTGATTTTCCTAGATTCGATTTCTACTAGCCGTATAACATCACGAGAGGTCAACGCAAAACCGTACGTGTGTACGAGAGGCGCGATTGGATGATTGAATAATCTCACCTTTACTCATTCTTCATCACCGCATGTTAATGAACAATGAACGAGCAGGTCGCAGCCAAACCGTTGTAAAGTTTAAACTCTGTACTCTCCTCCTGTCCGATCTTGAGAAAATATGACCCTGTGTTCCATTATGTGCGTATGCGAACTTATTTTCGTTCATGTCGAAAAATTCCGACAAGATCTTATCAATTTACAGATCCCTCGAATTCCGTCTAGCCTCTTCAGGGAGATATGCCCTTTTGGCACGTTAACATTTTGTCAGTGCACACTTGAAATGAGACGATGATTAATAATGATAATGTAAATTTATGTGTTTCGCTTCATATATCCTTCAAATTAACATACATCAAATGCTTCAAATACTGAAGGTGCACAATAACAACAATTCACTCATTAAACTTTTCTATAAAGTTCAGGTGCATACACACGTATATAAATTGTGCACATTTTGTCCTATACTATATCAATTTATATTATATTATATAATATTTTTTATATTTTATTTTATTTTATTTATTCTATTTTTTTTTTTTTTTTAATCAAGGTCCCTAGAATTCGGCGGAGTTTTTTTTTTTTAGCATTACGTTTAATGCATGCAGTCCTCAAATAAATAGGCGGTCAAAATTTTCAAAACCAACCATTCTTCACGCTTGACTATTTCACCCTCCATCCGAAACTTTATTAATAATATACCACCGCTTTCGACCTCGATTGTCAAAAGAGTGTTTTTCTTTCTTTCGTCGTCTCTTGGCAATTCGTGAAGATCCCTCATTATCGTTTCTCTTCTATCTCGATTATACGATCAGTCTGTTTTCTTTTTTGAAATCCGGTACCTCGAAGACATAACGAACCTTCTATCATTGTGATCTGTTTTGTTTCTTGGTGAGCTAAAGAGCTTATTGATTAATTAATTAATGCGAATTTTTCTTGAGGCGTCGAGATGGATATACCATTTCACCCCAATAAATCTTTTTAACACCCATCATCATCTTCACCTTTGGTGACGCGACTGTCCATTGGTGTTTTGACGTCCACGTGACCAATTGGTTTATCAAATTTATCATCAGAACAACTCCACGCACCATCTTCTTATTACTAATAATGAAAGTGGTGAACACTTGATCCCAATGCCCTCATTCGTGTCCCCTTTTCCCCGATCCTCTCGATTTCCTTACCCGTTACGACAACTTGCTCATGTTGTTTCCACAAATTTTTGTAGATCCATTCGCATAAATTCGCCACTGTAAAAATAACAAAAATAACTCGAAAAAAAGCAACACCGACGAATAATCAACCTCTCGGTCTTATCTGAGCTGTGCTCGAACAAAGACGAGGAACTTGTAAAGAAAAAGTGTATCATAATATTTTAATATATATATATATATATATACCATTCTCGGTACTCTGAAACATAACGAATAATCGCGCGATGATGGATAGTCTGGGTAAGGGGCCGCGAGAAAAGTTGTCATGTTTATTATGCGCCAAATCTCACCATTAATTCTCTCCCATTACGCACGGATTCAGCCATTCAAACCCACGAGGGTTATTACGACCAAATCGAGCACAAGTTCTCCCGATTGAACAACTGCACAACCAAGCATCCCATGCGAAATCCATCTTACGGTCTTGGGGCCGACCTACGACTTGTCACCCCATCCACCTTTAATTCCTCTTCGATGCCATCCACCCCAGCAACACCGAATTTTCTTCCATTTCAGAATTTCTCATTTCTCGCCGGTGTTGCCTCGCAGACAACGGGTTTAACCAATCGACCAAGGACCCTTAAATTTGCTCCCAAGAGTGGCGGTGTGGGTACTCGTCTCACGGTTCACATTTACATCGAACTTCCTGGCTCGAATTACATTCTCAGCATGGCATTTGGCGACATGATGGTCGAAACACAGCAGGTCGCCATGCCAGAATCCTGTTACGAACTCGTCGCCATTGTGCCGAGTCAGGAGGATATCAAGAGCGCCAGCAGGGCCAGGGTTCCAGTGAACGTGATGATTTGCAATGAATTTAGCATTCCAATCGATAAATGGCATCTTGGAGATTTTGTCTTTAAAGGTGTGAAGAATGAAATAGTCTGCCGTGAATAAGATTGTTTGGTTCCACCTAGCATAATTCACCTAAACCAACCGTTTGAAACACAGGCAGAAAATCCCCGCACAAACGTCTCAACAAGTCTAGTAACGATCTGAACATCGACGGTCATAAAAATCACGTGAATAAAGGTAGATAGAAGGATTCAACTTTTTCGTTCTCATTCTGCACCCGTCGTGTCTTTCACACTTTAGAATAACAAGAACTTTCAGCTCCATGCAGACACTCTCCATCGAAGAGTGGATTGTACCATCCGTATGCAATTGATGGTGAACCAACTTCGCCTCTCTCAAAGGTGCCCTCATCGTTGAACAAAAATAATACTGAAGGTAATTATCGGCAAATTATTATTTTATCCTTGACGTCTAACGAATTTATCATTAATTTTAGCTTGCGCCATCCAATCATCTCAACAATTTAACTCGTATTCTTACAATGACCCTGTCCAAGAGGCGCCAACTTTTTCTGTGCAGGATTATCATGATGGTAATGTAATGAATGGCAAAGGTTTTTTTTTTTTTTTTTTTTTCGGTTTCAAACCGTGTCATGTTATTATTCAACGCTTGACGACCGACCTTCTAATGTGACGATCATCCTCGACATTTCATAGTCGACATGCTAACTCCCATGCAAAGCGACACCACAGCATCGATATATTCTTCGGCTTGTTCAACTCCTTCCTCAACGACAGATTCGGATGACTGTAAGTTCGACTTCTTCCGGATCCATATTAAAATTTAAACTTGCTTCATATTTATCTATACACTTGTTTAATAAAATTATAAAAGCCCGATTCGGTCGCAGCCCAAAATTTTCCAAGGACGATACCCAAATTTCCGTTTATGACTCGTCCAACACAGCAATGCCCACGTCTTGGGCCAACGAATCCAACACCGTAGAAAACCTACCTACTCAAACTGCCGTCAAATCAACGGAACATATGATGACAACTATTTCCGGAATTCCTCCAGGTCTTTCCCCGTTATTCCCTCCTTCGCTATACCCTTACCTTTATTATCCGGTCATCCCATCGATCACGCTCAAGGATTGTCCGGTGGTCCCTTCATCCGGAAGGCTGGCTCCGCCCAGGGGTTCTAACCTTGATAATGACTGTAAAACCCAACTTCATGAACTGCTCAATAGAGTCAAGCTCAATGTCGACGGGGATATACAAACGATGGCGCGAAATTGGTCCGAAAAGGATTTCAAAAATCGCCGAAGATTGGTTCAGTTCATGAGGCGCGTGGAAGGTGACGAAATAAACGTCTCGTTTAAAGCGGTGAATCCCGATGAACGACCACGATACGGCATATTCGTCTCTTGCATTTGGTGGGAAGCCAAGGACGACTATTATATCACATCGGTCGACTGCATCTACCTTTTGGAATGCTTGACGGGGATAAGGTTGACCCAGGATGAAAAGAATCGTATTCGAAGGAATCTTGAAATCTTCAAGCCACTGACGGTGGGCAAGAACAAACGAGACAGCGAAGACCTATTTCGCGTGATCATGAGCTTTCCGAATCCTAAACCGAGGAACATCGAAAAGGATGTCAAAGTGTTTCCTTGGTCGTGTGTAATGTTGGCGTTGAATAAGATTTTGAGAAAGTACATGAGTGCCGGAGGCAACGGTCAGTGCTACAATGGTGGCAATCAACTTGCAGAAAGCGAAAATAAATTCAACATTTCTTCTTTACGAAGTAATGAAGCCGCGGAAAGTGTTGAACAAACGTTCGGTGGATGCACACCCTTGAATAATAACTCATTTCTTGGAGTCGGGTTTCACCTCCGAGAAAATGGTCTCGCCATTGGATGTCGTCACTAGATGTTTATTAACGTTAAATTTGAATTGTAATTTTTTCTTTTTTTTTTCGTAATACCTATTTTTTGTCGTGTGTATAGATTATACTTGAGCAAACAATATTAGAAGTTCAATATTCGACGTCTTTAGTCTTTTTTTATATCTATGATCTTCATAAAAAAAAAAAAAAAAAAATTTTTTTTTTGTTTTCTGCGTAAATAAATTATTCATATAAAAATTCGCGAGTTTCGTAATTCATTTACTGTATAACTAATTGCGCAAATGGTTCGAGTGAGAATGATATTACGCGCACAAACGTGATTTGTAACACGTTTGGCCTTGGATCTGTATCGATGGTTTCTTCTATTGTTGAAAACGAACGCGTTCCAAATTCATGATTCCGAAATTCAAGTGAAATAATGATTACCCAGTTATATTTCCGACGCGAGAAAAAGCTGTATTACCGTACTGCACGTATGGAATGATGCATTCGACGGCAGAGTAATAAAGTTGATTGTCGGACGAGATGTTGATCCTGGAATCGAGTTACATATCGATACACATGCACAACTTTATTTTGACAGGTTGGATACACAATTTCTTTTGCATTAGTTAATCAGTTGCCCAAACTTGTCAGGCGGCTGGTTACAGAGGTTGTGAGCTAGTATATATAGGTTTTAATCTCGAATCTCTTTTATTTGTTAACCAAATTTGGAAGAGAATAGAAATATTTTTTAAAAAAGAAAATTTCCAAAAACCCAACACCCTTGGTAACCTTTTTTAGGCATCGTCTCCAGTTGTTTTTTTTTTCCCAATCTAGTTTAAGCGATTACTAAAATCCATGTATTTTTTTTTTTCAAGGTTGCTTGAATGTACAAGCTCAATTTCAAAACCTTGAAAATTTTATAAAAATATACTTTTGTCTATTGCATAAATATACAGTATACTATATACTGTATATATACAGTATATAGTTGAAATAAAAATTTAGGAATTCATGATTTAACATTGTTTATTGAACTCAACCAAATATCAAGTATATTTATGCGATCGATTCATTTATATCCACAAAAGAAGTTGATTTAAAAAGTTTTTTAAAAATCAATTGCTAATTAATCTATCATCATAAAATTCCAATTACTATTATGATCACAAATCATTTAAACCAATATTATTGCTATATGAAAACCTACTTTTCAAAAAAAAAAAAATCGGAAAATAGTTGAAATCAAAGTAAATAGAATAGAATTATCTATATATTTTTGAAAAAAGATTTCTTTCTTTTTTTTTTTTGAGCAACTTTAAATCTAACAGCTTTATTCAAAATTCATCTTTTAAAATTTATTTTTCCAATCGGTACTACATATTTCAAAAAAATTTTGTATCCAATATTTTATTAAAAGCAAAAAAAGAAATAATTGACCTTTGTAAGCTTATTTTAATTAATATTGGATATTGGATAGTTAACTAATTCACTTGTGAAAAAAAAAAAAATCAAATTTTAAGTAAATTTGAAAATTTTTTGAATTATTCTTTTCAAAAGAAACATTTTTTTATAAAAATCTATATCTTCATAATAATATAATTAAAACTTTTTTATTAATATTTGTACTAATTAATAAGAATCATGATATATATATATATATTTTTTACTCTTTTTTTAAAAAAATTTAATAAAAAAATTTTTTAATATAAATGAAAAAAATTATTATTAGTATAAAATCATAAAGCTTTTAAAAATATTTGCAATAATAATTTATAATTAGTAATATTAATAATTAAAAGGTTATACTTAAAATTTTTAAATAAAAATAAATAAATTGATTAAAAAATTGGGTTTGGTGATATGTAAAATATATGTAATTTATATATATCTAATAAAATATATAAGGTTTATAGATTAATAGTATAATGAGTAGTACTTTATAGATTAAACATTAAAAAAACTCTTTCTGCAAATCCCTCAGATCCTTAGAAATTTTCTTTTTAGGCAATACACCCAAGAAAAGAGACAAC